TGCCTACTTGCTTCAAAAAAGTGAGATGAATAAGCAAATGTTATTCCAATTTAAATGTTGTATTGACCTCAAAACACAAAAAGAGAGATGAACACCATATATTAATTCAAGTTGGAAGCTACTGTAAGCTCATCAGGCTAAGTAGTATATACCACAGACATTAGAAAATACAGAGTCAATAAGAGTTTAAATGCTGCCCGTTAGCAATTCTCTTGCTAACATTTCAGCTTGAACTTACAATAACATTTATGATAATTTACCATATACTGCTGACTTAAAACATTTAATTGGAAATGATGCAAACATACCTTCAGGGAATAATGTATCAAATTTGGTAAGATTTTCTTTAGTGCTAACAAAAAGAGAGGAAGAATGAGTATAATGTCATTGGAAACAATGCCCTCTTTCTATAAAAAGATCTCTTAATTATTTCAAATAAATAGTATTAAAAAGTGAATAAGAGTTCATGAATTTTCAATCTATCGATATATCTTTTTATTAGAGCAATAATTCCCTTGAGGAATGTTACACTTTGAAAATAATTGTGTCATCACAAGAACCTTGCCATGCCAGGCTCCAATTTCCTTAGGGAATAGTGAGTCACAAAGCATATCTAGGATTTGCTAAAAGGGCACAAAACAACTCTAGTTAAGAGATCTACTTCTACTCTCCTTGTCTCTCTATTGCAGTGGTGACAACTCTGATCTATACAAAATTGGAAGCTTGAGATAACCCTCAGCAAATTGGTAAAATGTTCTCAGTTCTACTCTGTATTTCCTGCCATCTTTAGAAATCGTATTTATCCTCCCAGCAGTTTATGTCTTTCCCCAATATTAGTACAGCAGGATGAATGATGACTTTTATCTCAATTTTATTATATATGTAATTAAAATAATTTGAAAGGAAGAGATTCATAAGGTAAAAACTGATTACAAGAAAACATTAAGGAATATTTTTAACTAATTTGCAAAGATTAGTGAAGAACTTCAGTAATTGTATTAAAAGAATACAGTCAGTTGGCTTTTTTGAAAAGTTATTTGCTAATAGATACTAAGAACATCAAAAGTGCACACATACTTTGTGTCTGTAAGTCCACCTTATGACTCCCTATTAATAAAATAATCCTTGACACAAGCAAGATTTACAAATTCCTGTCAAAGAGCAACATTTACAAATTCCAGTCAAAGTACAATTTATAATAATGAAAAATTGGAGACAATTTGGCTAAATAAACCAGAATATCAAAAAAGCAAACTACTATATAGCCATTAAAATTATGTTTTCAAGGAATTTATAGTGATATTGGAAAATGTTAAGGATGTGATTACATAAAAAACCAGGATAATACATATACACACATATATAAAATCATATGTAAAATTATATATGATAAAAATAAGATTTGAAATGTTTACTTTGGGTTTGGGGATGAAGGAATGGGGGAGGACCAACATAATTAATCTCATATTTTGCATGAAGTGCAAAAGAAAAAGATCACTGTTAAGTATGATACCACTTATATATCTACATCCTTTTAACCTACATCTTTATGTCTAGGAGGAAATACAATGACGTTTTATTTTTAGAACATGAATTTTAATTCATTTAAATTTATATTTTTCCTGACTTTTCTATAGAGGTTTATATAACAAAGAAAGGAGAATATTCCATCATTCTTTTGAAGCCTCTGAACTGTTGAAACTGTTATCATAAGAATGTATGATTTGAAAAACAAAGCCAATAAAGTAACTTTTGGTATTTTCAAAAGCTGGTGTATTTGTGCCTATTATTTATAATATATATTGCATAATACTACAGGATAAAAGTGGCAAGGATTAGTACTTGCTTGAGATAAAAGTACTAATGAAACAAGTTCTAGGAGAATCCTGTATGTAAATAATTACAACTAAGATAAATAATAGTCAATAGTCAATTATTTATCTTAACTGGTACTACATATACTTTTATTTTTTTGAGAGAGAGAATGGCGGGAGGGGGAGAAGGAAAGGGAGAGAATCTTAATCAGGCTCCACACCCAGTACAGAGTCAGAGCCAGGCCTCAGTCTCAGGACCCTGTGATTGTGACCTGAGCGGAGATCCAGGGTCGAACGCTCAGCCAACTGAGCCACCCAGGTTCTCAGGTGCTGTGTATATTCTTAATAAAATTTAGGAAACTTACAAAGAGTTAACTGGAAAAATTAGTGAATACAGCATTAGAAGAATCTTAATTAAATGGAAATACAATTGTTGGTGTTGAACCCAGAGAAGTAGTTATCTGTTTCAGAGGCCACTGAAATAGCTCGGAGGACAATTTTAAAGATCTGATTGTGTGTAGTTGTTCTCATCAGAAATGATCTAGATAATACAAGTTCCATTGATCCAACATTGCATGGCACTATGACTGATTTTAAATTGGCATATTTAACTCTTTAGCCTTCAAAACTAGATTAGATTAGGATTAGGAGTACTATGACAAAGTTTGCCATCTGGTGGGAAACAAATCAGATATCTTCACTTAACGTTTCAATGTCAGGATTTTGAACTGGGCCTACAAGGTGAAGACAATTTTGGTACCCTAAATGCAATCACAGTGTTGTTATAAGAAGGAAGCTGAGAAAGATTTGACTAGAGAAGAGAAGGCAAGGAAACTTTAAAGCAAGAAGAGACACTGCAGGCTTTGAAGATGGAAGAAAGGGGCCAGGAACCAAGGAATATAAGGAATATAGCTTTAAAAGCTAGAAAAGGCAAGATGAAGCCTTTTCTCCTAGGTTCTTCAGTCAGAAGCCGTATGCCCTGACACCTTGATTTTGGTACAGTAAAGTGGATTTCAGAATTTTGACCTGCAGAATTGTACGGGGATAAATGTATATTTTTTTTTTCAGCAGAACTGTGGTAATTTGTTACAGTATTCATAGAAAATTAATACAATAGGTATGTGGAAGAAGACCTGAGCCTGGAGCAATACAAGCACCTTAAGAAGAGGTGTGGAAAATTAACATTCTACACTGATTGATCCTAAGTATGACTATGTCTGTCAAGAAGCTGCATTATTACGCAAACTAATTTTTTCCAGCCTGGAAAAAGTTGTCAAAATTATTCAGAAAAGAAACCAAACAGAATGCACACAGAAAGTCTTTTCTATCATAATCCCTGTGACCTGACTAGGAAATTTAGAAAAATAGAAGAGTGAATGTATTTTACTCTCCAGGTGTTTTTAAGCTCTTCCTTAACACGTGGCAGAACTCTTAAAGTGGGCACACATTTCACTACCCAATGTAATGTGATATAAAATATTTAAAATGTTAAATATTAACCAAAGCAAGCAGTTAGCCTGTGGTGAAGAACAGATTTAGAGTAAAATGAAGCTTGAGATAAAATTCAATAAATTCAACAAAATGAAAAGCTAGCACTGGTCTGAGAAGTAATATTCAACATATTCCTTCCCTTTACTATTTTTATCAAAACCTTATGATTTTAACCAATCCTGTTTTCTGGGACATCAAGAAGAAAATTCCTCCTTGTGATACTAAAAATAAAAATGTCTATTGTATTTGAATGACTATAATGTATACTTACACTTGAAAAATAGAAGTGTACAGACTTAGTTCTTCAGTTCTTAGGATTCAGAGGGAAACAGTCTGATAGGCGAGGTCAAAGTGAAGAACAAGGGAAACATAAATGCATATATTTAAGGGGATTGGTTTAATTCAATAAGCATTTACTAACTACAGACCCGATTCTGGGGACTATGCCAGGCAAGTAGAAAGAGACATACCTATCTTTAAAACACATAATTTAAATATGCCATGAAAGAGAAATCCATACCAGCTATGGGAGCAAAAGAGAAAGGTCATTTAACTCATATGAAGAGTAAGTAAATGGTGGGCTATGAAGGTTTTCGGACGAATTTTGAAAAAGAAGGTGATAACTGGGGTTATCAAAGAGAGGGGGGTTAAGGGGAGAAGGAAGGAGGGTAAATAGAGAAGAAAAATGAAAGTACATTAAGCAGAAAGACTGGAATAGGAAATGTGAAGGCATAAAATAAAATACTATGGAATAGTCAACATTTTGCTTTCCTTAGAACATATGGGAAAGCAGTGGAAACAAAGTTAGATAGGCAAGCCCTTGAAACCCATATCTCAAAGCGTTCTACAGAAGATGGAGAATCTATGTATGGTAGCTTCTGTTTTTTAATTTAAAGCTTTTAGTGCAAGACACAAACACTTTATTGTTCACAAGTTATAATTGCTTAAAAATTTATTCTGGCTAATATTTTTCTTAAAAATTAAATTACGAAATGTTACTTAAAATAGTATATATTAACTCCTGTATGCAACTTGAAGAATAATCATTGCTATGGCTTGAATCAAGCCCCCCCCCAACCCACCCAAAAAATACCTAGAAGTCCTACCCCCAGGACCCCAGAATGTGACCTTATTTGGAAATAGGGTGCTTCCAGATATAATCAGTTAAGATGTGGTCATACTGGAGAAGTCTAGGTCCTTAATCCAATATGACTGGTGTCTTTAAAAAAACAAAAACAAACAAACAAACAAAAACTCCAAAAAAGTATGTAATGCAAAGAGAAGGAGACACAGGGGAAAGCCATGTGAGGATGAAGCCAGAGACCAGAGTGAGGCATCTGCCAGCCATGGAAAGCCACAGCCAGCACAGCACCAGATGCCAGGAGAGAGGCATGAGCGGACTCTCTCTCATAGCCTTCAAAGGAAGCAGCCCTGCCAGCATCTTCATCTTGGCCCTACAGCCTGCAGAACTGTGAGACAATAAATTTGTGTTTTTAAGTCACTCAGTTTGTGGTACTTGGCTGAAGCAGCTCTAGAAAACCAAGTTACATGATGAGCATCCACGTACTGGAAATTGCTTAAGGAAGAGAACGGTCAGGATCTTTGAGGCTCCTATGTACCTTTCCTGGATTATATCACTATCCTTTCAGATGATACCATATCCTGAATATTGTGTGGATTGTTCTCTTTATTCTAAATAGTTTCCCACATATGTGCATATTGCTAAACAATAAAACACGTAGATATAACTGTTTTCGTTCTTTCCATGCGGTATACAGCCAGCAGTTTGCTCGCCTGCGCACTACACGTTCCCCCGCTCTCTGAACTGCTAAGAACAGATACTACACTTGATCTTAGCCAAAAGGCCAAGAAGCGATCCCCCAACTCTCTGAAAGTAGAGTGTTCCTATGAAGTCTTTCATAAGCCAAAATGGCCTGAAAGCAAAGAAGCAATTTCCATTAATTTAAATGGGAAAAAAAATATTTCGCATTCCCAGCCCCCAAAACAACCTCTCCTGAGGCTTTTCTGATACCTTAAGACACATCTTGCTAACAGATGCACAAAATAAATGGAGATAAAGCACAGATGCTCACAGACACACTTCAGAGCTCTGGCAGCCTGATGCTGAGACGCTGAGTATCATTCCCAGGGAAGGCTCTGAATCACCTCCATGGGAAGAAGCAAGACTACACTCTGGGCTCAGAGTGTGCGCTGACCCTATAAGGAATGGCTGTAAAACACTGAGTACTATTTTTGATTTTCACCTATTTCATAAAAGTGAAAATCCTCTTCAGATTTCTTTTGTTTGCAAAAACCCATATTAATGTAAGTTCTTCCGTAAAAGCAAAGTGGCCCAATGTGAGCTTTCAAAAAGTGGGGGATACTTGTGTTATGTTTTTGAGGCTTATTCATGTCGATGACTCTCTATGTAGGTAATTCTCTTTCTTACTCATACCATTCTATATACGAATATAGCATAATTTGTTTATAAATGGACACCTGTTAATTCTAGCTTTTGCTATCAAAAATAATACTGCCAAGAAAAATTCTATATATAATCTCCCAGTGCACATGTGCAAGTGTCTTTGGGAGAGCAACCCACAAATTCATGATGTGTATCTTCAACTTTGCTAAACTATTGTCCTATAATTTTTTAAATTGAAAGGTTTGGCTTTTTACTTGAAATGAAATTTGATTACCATTCACCCATCTGAGATTAATTTTTGTGCATGAGCAAGTTGGGCTCCTATTTCCTTTTTTCCATATGGATAATCAATTGTACCACCATCATTTATTAAATATTATATTCTTTCCCCACCATTATGCAAATAAAGGCATAAATGAAATTCCCATATATTTCCGTACATTCATGTGGGGTCTATTTCTGGACTTTCTATTCAATTCCATAAGTGATGTATCTTTAAGCAAGCACCACGGTTAATTTTGATTTCTGGAAAGGAAATTCCCCCAAACCGTTTCATCTTTTTCTAGAGCACTGCGGTTTTCTTTTATTTATTTATTTGATTTTATTAAATTTTTTAATTTTAATTCCAGTATAGTTAACAGACCATGTTACATTACTTTCAGATGTACAGTGCAGTGACTAAAAAATTCTGTGCATTACATGGTGTTCATCATGACAAATGTACTCTTTAATCCCCATCATCTATTTCACCCATTCCCCTATCCACCTTCCCTCTGGTAACCAACAGTTTGTTCTTTCTAGTTAAGAGTCTGTTTCTTGGTTTTTCTCTCTTTTTTCTCTTTGTTTGGTTGTTTTGTTTCTTGCTTTCCACAAATGAGTGACATCATATGATATCTGTCTTTCTCTGACTTATTTCACTTAGCATTATACTCTCTAGCTCCCTCCATGTTGTTGCAAAGGGCAAGGTTTCACTCTTTTTTATGGCTGAATAATATTCCACAGCATATATATACACACACATTAAATCTTCTTTGTTTATTCATCTGTTGATAAACACTTGGGCTGCTTCCATCTTTTCTTTATTTATTTAATATTATTTTTAAATATGTGTTGACCTATTTTTATGTTAATGTGTACATTACACATACTCATTAGGTTAAAAGCATAATATAATGAACACCCATAAACCCATCACCCAACTCAAGAACTAGACATTACTAAAACTTCCTTCCACCTATGTACTCTTTTTCTATTTCATTCCCCTGCTTCCCAACTCTAAAGATAATCACCCTGTAAACAGTTTAGGCTCATTCTACTGTTTTTAAAATGTTCTCTAGCTATGAATAATACTTTACAACTTGCTTTTTTCACTTAAGCTTATGTTTCTAACATTCATCCATGTTGTTATGTGAGGCTATAATTTCTTTCTTTTATCCCCAGTGATTTGCACTGACAGAAATTTTAAGGTTATCTTTTATGTTCTATAAAAACTTTTTTCAATGAAAATTTCATTAAATCTATAGATCAGTGTGAGTAGAATTGATAACTTCACTACATGGAATCCTCCTATCCATTAAGAAATTTCTCTTCATTTAGTTGGATCTTCATTAAAATTTCTCAATACAACTTTATACAAGTTTATTATTCTATAACTTCATATTTTTCTACATAAAAAATCTGCACATCTGTTAAAATTCATTTTAATTAGCTTATACTTTTATTGCTACTATAAATAATATTTTTAAAGATCACAATTGCTATTTGTTGCTTTTTATATAAACTTTTGTGTATTTAGTGTACTTCTGGTTACTTGCTAACTTTTTATTATCTACAAAAATTTTCTAGTGTATTCATTTATATTTTCTATGTAGACAATTATACAATTTATAAATAATGAAAAGTGTATTTATTTGTGATCTTAGTATAAGTTCTACTTTTTTCTTAACTAACTGCACTGGCTAAAGGCACCAGCACAATTTTAAAGAGAAGTGGAGATAGAAGGTATTCTTTCCCTGTTTATGATTTTAAAAGGTGTGTTTTGTACATTTCTCCACTGAGCACCATGTTTTCTCTGTATTGGACTTCTACAGATACTTTTTATCAGTTAAAGAAAATTTCTTTGTATTTCTAGTTTGCCAAGATTATTCTTTTAGTCATGAATGATATTGAATTTTCTGTATCTACTGTGATGACCATATGACTCTCTTCCATAAATACAATAAACATTGATATTCAGAGGTTGGACAGTGGGCAAATAATAAGAAGGGTTAAACACAAAGGTGATTAAAGAACCAAGACTGCATTAAGTTACAAGTGCTAAAGGAAGGGAAAACTCCTAAATGGTAAGAGTGTTCAAATGTAACAGACATAGTCTGCTCCTGATTTTTGTCACTGTCCTTTAACAGACCGATCACAATGCTTTTTATTCTTTTTGACATTGTCCTGACCTGGTATAAACAAAATTTTTTTAATATATCTGCTTGACTGAATTCATGCACCAGTATTTTTTAACTGAGTTTGGCAAGAGGTTTCCATTTCTTAAGAATTTACTCCATAATTCTCTTTAATTTTATTGGTCCTTTAATTTTCTTGGCAACAAACTGTTCTTATAGTCCTGATAATTTAGAAGTTTAATAGGAAGGATTTGGCTTTCTTCTCCTGATAATTTTTCACAAACAGGGAACTAAAATTTCAGTAGGTTCTAGCTGACTACTCTTTATAAGATGTACTTCTCAGTCCATCAACAGGACTGGATGGTCCAAAAGAACTCTTCTGGTTGCCCATGTGGTTTAGGACCATTATAATTTTTCATTAATGAGACAAAACAAAAGAAAACAAAACCAAAATACAATTAAACAAAAATCAAATGATAATATTTTACTGCACAAATGAGACTATGGTTTAAATTTGCAGTTCTATTCACGTTGGGCAGCTGTGTGATGTTTCTGCTTTCAGCTTTTGGTTGAAATTTTATTTTTAACCTGTCACTTCCCAAGTGATCTCAGTCTATCATGAGAATGACACTGTTTGATCAATGATTACAGAAAAGCTCCACTATCTCAACTCATGAACTGCCAAATTTAATGAGCAGCAACCTTAGTGTAGCCACTAGCACTTCTGCCAAATAGTAAAAGTATGTGGATATTGTTTAAGTAAGTCTTGATTTTTTTCCTTGTTCCTCTCTGTTAGCTATCCTACACAGACTGTGTAAGCACAGAGCACTGTTCTGTGGATGTACACTGTTGATGGTCTTTTTGACATAACCCCTGGAAAAAGCACTGAGCCAAATAATGCTAGTAATGATAATTTCTGGATAGCCGTTCTTTTTTGCCTTCTTATGTTTCTTCTGGATACTCAGACACAACAATAGCACCCTTCCAATTCTACTAAACTCTATCTGCATGCCAGATGCTGGGAAGATTCATCATGCTGAGACGCCTAAAGTTTCTCCTCTTGTAAATTTTGGCATATATTCTGCTTCAAGGGCATTCAGATTCTCTAAAATCTACGAAAATCATGGTGACACAAGCCCAGTATTTTACTTGGACTTTATTTTACTTCATTTTTTTTTCCTTTTGCAATAATTTGATTGTTTTCATAGCATTTGATTAACTTCTTTAGTATTAATTTGGTAACCTCTACATGCCCCTCCCTTCTGTCTTGGGTAACATTTCTCTTCTTTTCTTTGCTTTTTTTTTTAAGGGTTACTCAGGTAGTATATTTAACCTGGGTCCATTTCTCTGACTGTTGTACTGCCAAATATGCAGAAACTATGGAAATATCCATAAAAAGAGTCAATTGCTATTTCTCTCACTACAATGAGTTGTTCAACATCAATGTGACAAAGAGCATAAATCAAATACTCTGAAAGTTTAAGCTCTACTCACTGTGTTTCAAAAAGGAAAAGTGGGTCAATTTAGAGTTCATCAATTAGATCACATTAAATTAGCCTCCATCATTGACTTGGCTCGACAGCTTTCATCTATTTTAATTTACAACAAAAAGGACAGCCAAGTACAGGATAGTAGCAATGACATGGTCAAAAGGAGGCTTTGTCTTCTTGGCTGTAAAGAATGTTTTGCTTTGGTACCATTAAGATATTTTAAAGACCTCTAAGTCAAAGGAAGTATAAAAGTAACATAAAATATGATATGTCCCATAATATGTACATTCATAAACACAGATTTATAGTGGAATCCTGTATCTAACACACTGAAGTTTTTAATTAATTTTTAAAAATATATGATATTCTCATATTATAAAGGACAAGCTCCAACTGTGATATGCTGTTAACATGGCAGAACACAACCAGTTCTCTACATTATCCACGATTCTATTCCTTCAGAGACACATATTTCTCTTATAATAGAAACGATATTTTACAGACATTATTGGGTGAGGTATCAGTCTACCTATGACACCAAAGAGGAAGACTAAAACACTTTTTAAAAA